AACGATTAATTTTTATTTTAAAATGAAAAAAAAATTGTGGTAAAACAAATTATAACAATAATATTATTAATATTTAATATAATTGAAATTATAATAATTTATTTGTATAATTAATAATTTGCAATTGTATTTGTTAAATTTAAATTAATAACACATAATATTATTTTATTAATAGTAAAGGTTATTTATTAATATAATATTAATTTATCCAATAAATGAAAGAAATTACATTTTATTAAAAATATTTTATAATTTTTTTAATTAAATTAAATTTTAATTATTTATAATTACAGTTAAATATATAATATAATAAATCAAAAATTTCAAATCATTTAAGTAAAAATGTAGAAAAGAATGCACTAACCGGGACTCGAACCCGGATCTCCACCTTGGGAGGGTGAAATTCTGCCCTTAGACCATTAGTGCTTTTCTATTGAAATGTGTTTCTTTATGTTGATGTGAGATAAACTTAACTCTAAACATTTAAATGATTTAACGGACGTTTTTTCAACGAACAATTTCCAAGAAACTTGAAACTAAATACATAAACCCTGATATAAACCCTAACCCACATAAAAAAATAAAATTCTTTTTCTCTTTGTTCATAGTATGACAATCATGCTGAAAATCCCGGCGTTTCTTTATTTTGTTCGTATTGTGCGATGACTTGATTAATGAAAGGAGCAATTGTCTGGAAATTTTCGAAGAAGTAAGCCATCACTTCGACTAGACTTTTCAATTTCTTGAACCCTTTAGTCTTCACGATATCTTTACACATCAAATTGATACCAATGGGAAAGCTTGAGATATCAAATTCGAATGTCTCTTCTGGTTCACCAAAGGTCATCTTTAAGTGTTCGACTCTCTTCTCGGAGAGTTCTGTTAACTCTGTCACCAAATTGTCTCCACAGACGATTTCAAAAGGTTCCATTTCACTATTAATCTTCTTTTCTTGTACTTCTAAAGTCCCACAGAGTCCTACTTTCTCATTTTCAACACAATCCTTCACTTCGAGACTCTGCACATTCCCTTGGAGTACATCTTGATGTTCAACTCCTTCATTACTCTTCTCATTGTAATTTTCAATGACTTTCCCCGGACTCGTTTGAGCATTTTCCAAAGCAATTTGCCTTGCCCGTTCATCGATTTGATTTCGTAGACGTTCGATGACTTGGAGTGCCATAAAACAGACGGACTCCTTTCTGAAATTATTTGAATAATAAATTTTCTTCTGAATCTCCCAGAAAACTTTCCGTGTTGGGAACAAGAAGTTCGCAACACTCTCCGAGAAGTAGCACACTTCGACGTTGTTCCTCTCCATCTCGTCTTCATTCACAAAGTCAATGTAACACTCCGGTAACACTAAAATCGCCTTTTTCTTATTCATTAAAGTTTCATCGAAGACATCAAGTGCTTTGTCTGCGACTCTCTTCTCAATCAACTGGCGCTGTTGATTTAAATAAGGATAGTACACATTCTGACACCACATCGAAAACCCACTCTTTGTCAATCCAAAGGAGAATTGAACTTCATATAACACATTCCGATAGATCATGTTTAACTGTTCCGCACACGCTTGCGTGCAACTACACATCTCTCGCAACACACTCCCACTCCGACTAATCCCTAATAAGATCGGACTCACACGACTCTCCCGAGTCACTTGAATACCCCCAAGAATCGGGTACGCTTGGACAATCTGTTCGTTCTCAATTTGGAACCCAAACTCGTCGCAGAACACCACCAAATCCGCATTTGCAAATTCCACTGTTTTTAAAAAGGTGACAAATTGGTTCTTTTCCAGGTCACTGGGAGTGTTCCTGTTCATCGGAAACAGTGGTGCAAACTTCACTTGGACCGTTTGGATGTCGTAGAGTTGGCATTTATAATCGTCCGCTATTGTTTCTAACGTCCCAAACATGACTGCAACGCCGTTCTTCACTAAACTTTTGATCTTATCCGTCGCCACACTTTTCGGTGTCGTGTGGCGATTGATTTGGTTAGTTGTATTTAAAGGAGTGACCGTCCGATTAGTATTCGTATTAATAGTATGATTATTAATATTTTGAACTATTTGTCTACTATTGACTTGTCCTTGTAGTTGACACCCATTTGGACTGTAATTTGTGGAAATGTTCTGATTGAATGTGTTCACCGTCTGCAGAGAAAGATTTGCAAATTGCGGCGGTAACGTGACGGGCGTAAAAACAGTCTGCATTTGTGTCTGCACTTGTTGCCCTTCTAATGCCACTTGTGGAGTCTTCTGGACATTTTCCACGTCATCCGTCTCCGTCCTCTCTGTTATACATTTGTCCTCCTCCACCGCTCCGTCCTTACTAATACTCTTCTGAGTCTTTATCATCGCGTCTTCTGTTAATACAGAAGGCAAATTTTTAGAGAGGACTTGGAAGCTCTTTTTAGTCTTCTCTGTGTCGAGGGGAGTTGGCATTGGTGGTTTAAGCATTCCTCCCTTCTTGCCACTCTTTTCATCCTTCTCTGCTTTCTTCTTCTTTGTTCTCTTCTTCTTCCCACCTTCATCATTTGACGTCTCCTGCACTTTCTCGCCTGTTTCCTGTGTGAATGTGGTATAGATTGGACACCCGGGGTAGTTCTGATAATTTTGGAATTGCATTTGTGACTGTACGATGATCGGCTGGAGGATTGGCATCTGTCTAAAGTTCTCGGGGATGTTCTGGAATTGTCCGAATTGTGTGTTCTGATTGATTTGATTAATCACATTGACGTCGCTCTCACTCAAATTCAGTGTTATTGGTTTTTGTGGTTGGTCGGAGGTCATCATTTGTGGGTAACACTGATATTGGGCATATGGATTAATCCCATAGAATTGCGTGGGGTCACACACTTGTGGGTGTTGATATGGATATTCCCCCATTGGTGTATTCTCCACATGAATATTCACTCCTGCAGTCTTTTCAATCATTTCATTTACTCCGCAATTCCCTTCAACTGGATTATAAAAGTCCGAAGTCTTATTTCTTTCTGAAGTCTTGTCCTTCCTCTCCGACCGTTTACTGTGGTTCAAATGGTCTTTAAGACTCTTCTCCGTCTTATCAGACACTTCACTCCCATCGTCTTTCTTCTTCATGTTCTTTCGAGGGTTCCGACGGACATATTTCCGCTTTGTGCGCTCAACAGGCTTCTCGCTCGCTTCGCCATTCCCGTCACTTTTCTCTTCTTTGTGGCTATGACTCTTTTCAGGTGTTTTCAATTGTTGTGGCTCTTCAACTTTTGTTGTTGGGATGTGGCCAATCTCTTCACTCCCGTCAGTCGGTTTGGGCGGAAATAGAACTGAGCCAATTGCTGCTTTAATCACATTCTCCGTCTTAATAGTATTGTTAATAGTATTTTTACTAGTATTACTATTACTATTACTATTCATATCGTCGGGAGAGTCTTGAACTTCTTCATCTTCATTTTCTTGTCCAACGCTCTTGTTTTCACTCTTTTGAGTCTTCTTTACTGCGCCGCGTGAAGTACTTATTGGCGAGAATAAAGGCAATATCTTAATATTCGATTGTACTCCTTTTGTATGTACAATTTCAATTTTTTCATCATTTTCATTCAGTTTTGGTGATTTGTTTGATTGTTTTGAAGTTGATAAATTTGCGACTGTTTCTTTGTCAATTTCTATTGAATTTGTATCTACTTGGTCCTTTTTGTTTTGAATTGTTTTTTAATACACTTTTCTTCTTCTATTTTGTCAATCATTTGATTCTCTTGAAAAGGGGGCGTTGCATTTGTATTGTTCGTAAGTGTCATTTCATCTTCTTCCATTTTTAAAGGTGCGCCCGTCTTTTCTTGTTCTCTATAATCCCTCTGCTCCTCCCTCTGCTCTTTTGTTATTTCTATTTCCATTGCAGTCGCCTGCCCTACACTTTGTTCGACATCCAGTTTATTATCCTTTTCATTCTCACTATGTTCTATATCACTATCTTTCTCCTCCATCTTATGTTCTTCAGTTTGAATAGTATTTTTACCCTCTTCTTCATTCTCATAAGTCACACTCCCCTTTCTTTTAGGTCCCCTTTTTGTCGCGCCTTTTGGCTTAATAAAGTCCTCAAGATTTCCTTCCAGTATATCAGGGCTCAAGACATACTTCTTCTCAAAGTCCTGAACCACACACTTTACTTTCCCGTTGATGTCCAAGACGACTTGTCTAGTCACTTCGTTCTGTTGGAAACACAAGTAAGTGTCGATCAGTTGTTTCTCTGAGATCTCGACTAACCTTCCAGTATACCCATACACAAAGATGTCGGATTTCACACACTTTGAATAGACTAAAAGTTCCTGGTCCACACTCAGTTCTTCATCCATTTCATTCATCATAGTAGTAATCTCGTCGATTGAATCTTTAACAGACAATTCAAAGACAATCAAGTTCTTCTTCTCAAGCATGTGGTACTTCTGTTTAATATCATTTTCAAAGAGCGGGGAGTACGAGTTGTTCGTATCGATCACTATATCAACACACGACAAATTGATCCCTTGCGGCTTCACTAATGTGTTCACACAGACGATCCAATTGTTCCGTTTGATCTCTTTGTCCTCCAATATTTTGTGACGAGAAAATAAGGCGTCGACCTCAGTGGTGTCAAGACACCCAATGATATCACTCACCGCTCGATTCCTCCGTTTCGTCGAATCTTTTTCAATGATATTTGCTTCATACTTCGACGCTATATAACTCAGTGTTTTACTATATGGACCTAAGACTGCTATTTTCTTCTCACTTCCTCGGCAGATCTGATCAATTAATCCTATAATAAACTCTAACTTACACCCTTCGATATTTTTATTACACAACGCTGGATGGGTTAACCACTTCTTCATCTTCTCAAAGGTCGTTGGAGTTATTCGGGTCTTCACGGCTGATGATACCATCGCTTCGTAAGAGTCTTTCTGGTCGCCTGACATCGTGATATACGTGTCTATGTATTTGATGTAATATTCAGGCGTTTCGGGCATCACTACATCCGCACTCATGCACTCTTCAATTTTCTAGTTCTGTTCAAATAACATTTTCAATAACATTTTTAAACCATTCTCTTGGTTTGTAAATCCTTTGAAAAAGGACAAAAAGACATTAACCTTTCATAATAAAAATTCAAAATTGCTATAAACTAGTTGAATGGTTTATTTTACTATATTATACACTCCAATGGATTACAAATTCAAATCAAAGCCAAAATTTTTATGATAAAAACAACTAAAAAATTACCATAAATGGAAATGTTTTGAATAGTTTATTTAATATGGTTTGTAGTATATTATTAGTATAATTTACAAAAAATTGAAAATTTTATAAGATGAATAAAAATGGGTAAAAATATAGTAATAATATATAATATATTTTATTATATAAATATAGTTTAAACTATATTTATTATAATTATAATTGAAAATACTATTTGGTACGTATAATAAAAAACAAACTTTTAATAAATCCACGACATTTGTTAAAAAATGAAAATAAGGAATTATAGATCTTATTGTAATATAGTTAAATAGTTATAATATATTAGATTTGTAATATATATATATTTATAATAATTATACTAATAATATAATATAATCAAAATATTATAATTAAATTTAATAATATAATACAACTAAATATTTTGATAAAAGACATTGGCTAATAAATATTTTTGAATATTTCATATTTAAAAATTTGTTTAATTATTTAAAAACAATTTATATACAATTGGAACATTAAAAATATTTGTAATTGAGGTATAATAATTAATTTAAATTTGATATTAAAGTAGTCGTTATATAATAAAATTGATGATCTAAGACAACACCATATATTTTGTAATAACAGAAAATAAATTTGCTCATTAATTATATATCTTTTGAAGAAAAATACATAATTATAATTATTATTGCAAAAAGTTATTGAATAATAACTACTACTATTATAAAACACTACTACTGGTGTTTTGTTATTGATTTTAATCAAAAAAGACGATCAATCTTTGCAAAAATTTTAAAAATAACAATGTTGATTATTTAATTTTATTTTATTTGAAAAATTCTTTATAATTAATTTTAATGTCGAAATTTTTTTAAAGAATGTGTTGTGATAAACTAAGTCACGTTTTTATTTTAAACAAATTTATATATAAAAATGACTTTAATAAAAACTAACAAACAGTTGAGTACACATTTTCTTACATACACAAACGATGTAATATTATTTTTTCATGGATGTTTGAATATTAAGTTGATAACCCCTTTTTGGATCTTTGATTTTTGGTTAATTTTTATAATTACTTCGAATTTAATTTTTTAGGCAATTTTACATTTTGAGTTCTTTGACTACTTTTCTTTCGTTACATTTTATTTTATTTTTGAAAAAATTCAAAAAGAGTATCAAGTGACATTCTTTTTGATAAAATATATAATTAATTTGTTGAAAGTAAATATTTGTTCAAAACCAAACAGTCAAACATGTTTATAATTTTATGTTAAAATAATACCAAATGTATTAACTGTTGTTGTATTGATTAGAAATGGTATTTTTTATTTTTTAAAATATAATAAACCGTCTAAACATTTTTTGAAATATACAAAAGAAAAAAAGTCACACTGAATATTGTTAAAATTTGATAATATACAATATGCAATTAAAAAAAATATGACGGTATCAGAATTTTATTTAATACAATTATTAAATTTAACATTAACAGATTTAACAATTTGTTGATGTTTAGTCATTAAATGTAGTTTATTATTAATATTCCAATTGTAAATATATTAACATATTCTTATCAATGTATTTTATTAAAATTATATGCTTTTTGACTACTTATACATTTGTTGGTAAAAGTAATTAACAATAAATTTCAAACCATATTAAAACATCACATAAAGTTGACATAAATTAATATTATAATAATCAAATTTATTATAATCTTTTATTGGTGGTTCCAATATTTCAACATCCTTTAATAAGATATGTTAACTGATCAAAATGAATAAAAGTTTTATTAAAATAAGTTACATTACACTTTTGAATAATATTTAATATAATGTTAAATAACAATCAATTAAAGAAAATACAACAATAATAAATATTATAAAATAAATACATTAAATCTTGTTTTTGTTTTCAAATTAAGTGATCAAATATTTATTACAATCGACTGATAGTATTATTCAATAAAAAACCATGTATTATCCTTACAAGTTTGAAAATAATCACATTTAACAATTTTACAACCACTAAATTTTTATTGTATGTTGTTGTTTACTTATTTAATAAAGTATGTGTTATTATTTACAACGTTTCAATTACAGTCAAACCTTGACAATTATAAAGATCTGATTGGTTGTTTGAAGTTTTATGGAAAAATTCGTAATAATCTCAAGTTAGTTTATTTTTCAATTAAATAAAAATTAATTAAACTTTAATCATTTGGTGTTTTCTGTTTTTAAACACATTGAAAAAAAATTATAGACTTTAGATAATAACATACACATTGATACTGAAGATAAACAAATTATACTGTTAGTTAATGGCTTTAGTTAACAAAATTTGTTCATCAACAAAAGAACACCAACAGGGTCTTTTTTGCAACTTGAACTTATGTTTGTTCTATTTTTACCAGTAAACGCGACATCAATTCATTAAATAAGAAAGTGTTGACATAACAACAGAACTTCAGTCTTATTTTTTTGTGAACTTACAATAATAATTCAATTTCTACAACCAATTGAACAATAGCCAGAAAAGAATGTTTATTTGGTTTCAAATAATTAAAGATTCTTTAAAATTAAACACAATTTATTAACTGTGGTTTTTACACAAATTTTTTTACTTCAATTTAAAAAAAAATATTAACTAATTTAACAATTTATGACAAAATTCAAAATGTTCATATAGAAAATGTCGAAGTTTGATTGTAAAAAACATTTTCAATATTTTTTTTTCAAATTAAATAAAAATGTACATAACACATTTAAATGAAGAGTTGTGTCTAATGATAATACAGTAGGAGGAAATAGAGGGATGCAAGAGAAAACGGGTTGCTCGTAACTATTGGTTAATTTCGATTGAAAAATAATAAAATTACTATTAATTTTAATATAAATTATCATTCAAAAAATTAATAATAAAATGAAAAAACCAAAATAAATTTATATTTATTATTTATTATTAATAATATTAAATTAACCCTTCGAGGACGGGAAAAATCAAAATTTGTAAAAAAAAAATAAAAATCTTAGTCAATTGTAATGTAAATGTGACCTTTTTTTCTTTAATTTTTTCAAAAAAAGCTAGACACCCTGGAACGACGGCTCTAGTAAATTTTTATAGTAAATTGTTATAAATTATAGTAAAAAAAGTGAATTTTTTGTTGAAGTTGGGATGAACAAAGGTTCACTTTTTTGCTTGATCCTTTCAGAAACAAGTCACAGTTCAATGGAAAAGTCAGATCAAAAATTTATTGAGATGTCCACAACCAATTACGATAATAAATTAATTATAAAATATAACAAAGACCAAATTGCATCATAAAACATACTGGTCCAGAATATTCAAAATCAATTACATCATAAAATAACAAAGAAAAAATAATAAAAACAGACTTTGAAATGTATTGAAATTTCATTATGCAATTGATCTCAAAAACAAGGGAAATTAAATAGATTTTTTTGTAAACTTTGAAAAATACAATAATTTAAAAAATTGGGTTTTGCTATTTTTTTATGATACAAAAAGATAAGACGTAAAGACACTTTTGTTTGTTCCGACTTTGAAAAAAAAATCTTAGAGAACATAAGTATAAAATAAACAAAAAATATCTAAAATACATTTTCAAAAGTATCAAAAATCACAAAATCGAGAAAAATTCTCGAAAATGACTTAAACAGTCAATATAGTCGCGTTTGTATAAACTTTGATCACCATGAGGTTTTATGATCACCTGTTGGGTTTCAAGTCGTGCCACTGTCAAAGAAGCAAGATATGAATTCATTATTTGTTATTTTATTTTTTTATCATTTTCAAACAAAAACAAAGGGCAAAATTGATTTGATATTATCATTTTCATATAAATGTTATTGTATTTGGTAATCAAATGCTTATTTTGCAGCCACTGTTTATTCATTTTTAAATTATGCATTTTTGGGCAACAAACACATAATTTAAATTAAAAATAAAGGGATAATAGAAATTATAAACAAAAAACAAATAGCCAAAAACTTAACAAATAATAAAAAAAATATTTTGAACTATATTATATAATAAAAAATATTATTTATTAAAATGGAAATTTAATAAATTATAGTTTTGTAATAATAAATTTACAATTTGATAGAATTATCAACAAACACCATTATAACACCATTATCACCATAATACTCATGCATATACTTTACCAACGGTTGTTTATGGTGTTGAGTAAAGACATCACGATGTTGTTATAACACAAGTTTTTAAAAACTTATCCATAAGTAAAAAAGAAAAAAAATGGTATAATGACCCCTGTTTTTATTTTATTTCACGATAATTTTTTTCGAGGTTCAATAAAAAAGCACGTATTGAATGAAATAAACAGTTCCTACTTTATAAAAAACCAAACAAAATAGAAAAATCATTTCATTTTCATTAAAGCACCAGAAAGATTGTTCAAAAAATCCACTCGTTTGCAAGGGTGGTAATTTGAGTACGTTTTATACGCGTTTAAGGCAGCTATATCAATCATATCATATAAAGCCCTGATGTTCCACCTGTTTGTTCGACGTCTACACGTATAATACCTGGTCATCTGATCCACAGTGTCAACCCCACCCATTTTGTGGTTGTAGTCAAGAATGGGCTGGGGTTTGTGTATTGTCATTTTTTCTTTGCCAATGAACACATCCTGCTCGACGACTTCAATTTCATTCTTTTCGTGGCAGGTTGACAAGACCAATACCAGCTTCTTTTTCTCGTTGAAGTAAGAGATGAGCTTACACTTTCCTTTCGAGAAAAAGATGGTGGTATCGGGAGTTCTCCCTTTGATTGTCTTGGCTTCGTCAGGAAGTTCTTTCCTATTAATCCTCATGGTTCCCAAAAGTTGGCACCCACATGAAGCAAGGTAGTGTGACAACCTTAACGTACAGAAGAAGTTGTCACACACAACGGTAAACTTGTTACCACGGCATAACATGGGTAGCACCATGTCCCTGACCACTCTAAAGCCCTGATT